CGAATAGTAACTGGTTTGATGATTGGGGTAAAGGTCTCAGAGTAATCAATCCCCGGGCGCTGATGAAAGCCTTTAGCCACCAATCGAGCTTTGAAACGATCCAAGGAACCATCGGGCTTATATTTCACAATATAAACCCATTTGCAGCTAACAATGTTCTGACCAGGATGAGCGGGTACAAGTTCCCATGTCCCTTGTTGAACCAAAGCATCAAATTCCACAGACATAGCCTTCCTCCATTCAGGTACCTGTAAAGCTTGAGAAGCACAAGTAGGAATAATATGATGAGGTAATGGTGAGTGTGTGACAACATCAGCTTGTTTAGGAGAACGAATGGTCATTGGGTGGGTACGTTTGGGTGGAGAGGCTTTTGGATCATGATGATGACCCAAGGTAGATATGGGATTATTTGTAGTGGGAGTAATGGTTGAGGGGTTGGTGTTGGGTACATTAGGTAAGGATGGAGTAGTTGGGTTTTGTTTGGGCCGGCGGTGATAAGTGATGAGGACCGGTGGGTTAGAAGCTGGTGGAGTGTTATGAGGAGCAGGGTTAGGGGAGTCTTGTGTTATTGGGGTACGAGTAGTAGGAGACGCCTTTGCTAGTGATGTACCTGAGATAGGAAGATAAGAGATAGGAGGTTGAAGCCAACTGTCAATTTCAGAGGACAGATCTGTAACGGGTGTTGTATTATTAGAGAAAGGGAAGACAGACTCATTGAACACCACATGCCGACTAAAAAAGATGCGATTGGTAGTAGGATCAAGACAACGATAAGCGCTTTGTTGATCGCAATACCCAAGGAAAATACAAGGTCTGGATTGTGGTTCTAACTTATGAGCTGCATAAGGACGGAGCCATGGAAAACATTGACATCCGAAAATAGCAAGTTTTGTGTAATTGGGAGGTTTTTGAAAAAGTTTTTCATAGGGAGTACAAAAACCTAGAGATGCTGTTGGTTGCCTATTAATTAGATATACAACAGTTAAAAAGGCGTATGACCAATATTTTAACGGCATAGAAGAGTGGTGAAGTAAAGTGATCCCTGTTTCTACAATATGATGATGTCGGCGTTCAGCGAAGCCGTTATGCTCAGGGGTATATGGAGGGGTCAGTAAGTGAGTAATACCACAAGAGGCCAGAAATTTCCCTAGGGATATGGATTCACCCCCTCTATCTGAATAAACCATTTTAATAGATTTTTGAAAAAAGTTTTCTACGATCTTCTTAAATTGTTGAAAAATTGAAGTTACCTCAGACTTGTGAGTGATAGTGTAAAACCAAATGTATTTTGTGTAGTGATCAATAAAAATAACATAATAACGAAAACCATCCACAGAATTAATGTGTGAGGGACCCCAAACATCTGTATAAATTAAATCAAGTGGACCTGAACTTGAAAGGGAAGATTTAGCAAAAGGTAACTTGTGACTTTTATTACTTGCGCATGAAGTGCATAAGGACAAATCCTTATTAACATCTTTAAAGGAAATACCTAATGAGGAAATAACTTTTTGAGTGATGGGAAGGGCAGGATGTCCTAAACGACAATGCCATTTATTTAGAGAAAATTTTGTAGTAACATTGACACATGGTGATGAAGGAACAGGAACATCAGGCAAGCTGTAGACGTCACCTTTATTCATACCCCGTAACAAAATTGCTCCCGTTTTCCGGTCCTTGACAAGACAAAAAGAAGGGTGAAACTCGATTAGTACATCATTGTCACGACATAATTTGGCAACTGAAATTAAATTAGTATGAATAGAAGGAACAAAAAGAGTATTAGGTAAGGAGAGAGAATGAAGGGTCATATTCCCAACTTGTGCAATTTCAAGACTTTTACCGTTACCAATAATGAGGGAGTCTGTGCCGGTGTAATCGGACGCCAGGGTAAGATTGTTTAAATTATTGGTGACATGATTAGTTGCTCCCGAGTCCAGCAACCATCCGGTTCTCCTGGTCGTGGCAGTATTGGCCTGGGGGGGATAATTTTGTTGTTCAAACCTGTGCCAACAGTTTATAGCGAGATGGTTCGGTTTGCTACAAATTTGACATATAACGGCACTCGGACTGGTATTTCCCCCAAAATTAGTACGCCTGCCCCCGGGATTATTATTTCCACGTCGATTTGAATTGTAGAAGTTGCTGGGACGTGGGCCTCGATTTTGATTTTTGAAAAATTTATTCTGAGTATTGGGCCTATTGGGTAGAGTCTGAAACTGGGCTGATGGACCTGGGCCTAATATAGACGCGTTCTGGTCTATACTTCTGCGAACGGTCATTGCGACCGAACTGTCTTCTTCCTCTTTTCTTTCTACCGTCACTGCGTTCGCAGTAACAACAGCCGCGGAATTCAAGAGCTCCCTCCTTCGCAATTTGTCTTCGAATCTGACCAGTAAGGAGTGGAGTTCTTCGAAGTTAGTTTCATCTGGGCGGATGGAGTTCTCCACGGATTCAAACTCGGGACGAAGACCCTCCAGGGCTTGAATGGCAAAGTCTTCATCGTCAACAGGTCGGCTGGCCATGGCTAGTTCATCCGTGAGGGTGCGAAGGTGGTGAAGATATTCTGCTACAGGTTGCGACCCATGTTTAGCATGGCGGAACTGGTCTTTAAGACTTCGAATTTTGGAAGCTGACCGGGTCCCGTATAGGCGTTCCAGTGTTTTCCAGACGGAGGCGGAGGTCTTTGCAGACCCAACCAGCGGTTTGCAGGCGGAACTGAGAGAAGATACAAGAGCGTGCCGCACCAGACGGTCCTGTCTCTTCCATCGCAGAAAGTTGGCAGCTTCAGTTTCTGGAGGAGGACTGATTTTTTCATCAATATACTGATCTAGATGAGACCCGAACAGAAGGTCCATTACTTGGTCTCTCCATACAAGGTAATTTGATCCATCTAGTTTTTCTGGGAATTGGTTAGGGCTGAGCATAACAAGGCCATCCGGGGTTAGGGGATTATTGGCTGAGAGAGATGATGTTGAGTTATCATTCATGTCTTCTGGACTTTTGTCTCTATTATTTTCATGAGCCATGGGCAGAGAAAGGTGATGCGGGGGGATAGTTCAGTGAAGAGAATAGGCCGTTTAGGCCTCTAGAGGCTCTGATACCATAACAAAGTTTAGAATAAGGAGGAATTGAGATTGAAAAGCTTGATTCATTCCATGAAATGATATCCTATTTATACAACATTTTAGAGCTAGGCTACTAATTATAATATTAAATACAAAGATTTGTAACTGAAATATTAAATACAAATATTCTAATTTATTTTGTAACTCATGTAACTGATCTCTAGAGCTGTCTAGACTCTTCTGTCTATAAAGTTTACTGATTTTTTTTAGAACTACTTTACCAACTATGTAATTCATTAGTCAATGTTTTCCCTTCGTGCAGGAAGTTGTGGGGTCCATATCCTCTGTAGGTGCAGTTGGGTCACTTCTTGGGGTTCTCCTATATCATAATGCCTTCAGACACCACCCTTTCCGTAGTGTACTTTTCTGGTCTCAGTTGCTGTTTGGGGCTTCAGGATTACTGGATTTAATATTGGTATCACGAATAAATCTTAAATTTGGCATTCCAGACTACTTTGTTGCCGTGAGCGATGCAGCCATAACTCATATGATTGCACGTCTCAAATGGATGCCACTTCTCGTGCTAAGCTCAAAGCTTTGTCCCTCAGGCATAGAAGGAACATTTTTTGCTCTGCTTATGTCAATTGATCACACTGGGATGCTCTCAGCCTCTTGGGCGGGTGGGTTTTTACTTCACATCTTCAATGTTTCGCGAACACAGTTCGACAGCCTCTGGATAGTCATTGTGATTAGAAGTTTACTGAGAGTCCTGCCAGTAGCACTTCTATTTTTGGTTCCAAGCAGTGATCCGAACACGTCTATTCTTCCGATTGAAATGTTGAAGGCTAAGAAGGGTGAAGATTTTACAGAAGCTGATAACAGTAGGGAAATGGTGGCGCTTGTCAACACTGTTGACCAGACCTTCACAGAATGATTGGATGAAGGGGGCATTAATCTACTTTTTCTTAAAAAGGGTATTTTATTATATCCAACTGCCACTCTTGTGCTGTGTAAACAAATACTCCGTAGAAAAGAGGAGCATCTCCAGATTTTAGACAGTTATAGAGATTCACAGGATCATCTTCTGGTAAAGCTGGCACCTGTACAAATCTACTCTCATGAATACTTGAATCTGGGTGTGGCTTTCTCTGGTCTTTGTACAATATGGAGGGGCAAAATCAACCATTTTCAGCAGGAGAGTTTAAGCCCCTTTTATTCTACATTCTTTCTAAAAAGGTTTGGGACTGAGATGCCCATAAAGAGCACTTATTCATCAATGAGTCTGATTTTCATGCAAGAATGCCCTTTACAATGTGTAGAATGTGCAACATATATTTTTTCCGAATAATGCAAACATATTTTTACTAGTCTCTTTTATGTCTCTGAACCATTTGGTTTGTTTATTGCCTGTTGAAAAAAGAGAATTGTTTATTGCATGGATAATACTCATAGACAAAAATGTACTACTTTTTAAAAATTCCAAAATGTTACTAAACATGTCCGTGGCATGTTACCACAGTTAGTGACAATGCTCCGCATTTCACTGTGACCTTCATAGTAAATTCCCGTAACTATTTAGTGGGAAAGTCCCGGAAAACTTTTCCAGCAGTGCTGGCAGCGGCAAATTGTGGTGACTTTTCTTGCAACGACCTTTGGAAAATTTCCTGTTATTTTTTCTGGGCGCAGGCAGCTGGAGGGATGATTGGTGGCAGGGGGCGGTGAGGGTGGGGGGCAGTTGGGTTGATGTTGGAGGGTGAAGAAATTTGAATAGATATAGGTCATTCAGTGGTTTGAAAAAACTAGTCATATATTTGTCAATCACACAGTTTAAAACTCTAAAAGATATATTTGCATCACTATTTCTTCATGTATTATTGCCTTTGTCATATTTCTGTGCAATTTCTACTTTCTGGTTTTTGAATTGTTATAGGAGTAAATAGGACTAATCATGAAAAGGTTATTATACAATTTATTACTTGGATTGATCCCAAAGCTGTGCACCATAGACCTCTAGATGAATATGACACATGATTGTAGGGTTGGACTCGGGCCGGCGGGTCGCGGTACTGAAAAAGTGAAGCCTAGTACCGACCCGTTTTAGTCCGGTACCGGTCCCAGTCTGGGCTCAAACAGTACCGGGCCTGGGTCGGTCCTGGGTCTGGCTCACCCTCTAATTTTTTAAAAAAATGAAAAGTAACGGATAGGCCCGGCCCGGCCCCGGCTGGTCCCAAAAAATCAAGCCCGAAGCCCGACACATTCTACCCACGGTCCGGGTCCCGGGTCGGTACCGGTACAGGAAAACCAGTCCCGGGCCGGTACAAACAGTTCCGATCCCGAGTCGGGCCCGTGTCGGGCTGCCCGGGCCCAGTCCATCCCTCTTGATTGTGCTACATTGATACATTGTTAGCTTTTAGAACTTCCGTGCATTACATACATACTGCAACCCCTAGCACATAAAACTAGCAGATATTACACCAATTACTGTGGTAGTGTTCTTAAGGCTTGTTGTGCTCAGGCTTTGCCACACTGTCAATTCCCAAGTTGGCCATATTACACGAAACTGCAAACCTCTTTTGCAAACCCCACTCGTGAATTATTCGTGTCGTATACAACCCTGGTGTTCCTCTGCTGATAGTTTCCGATAATCCCAATATCATCCTCATAAGTGAGGCTTGCCATAGCCAAACACACTTGAGAAGCATCTCTCTTAGCAAAGTAGAAAATCCCAGTGATGTCCACGCTGAGCTCAGAACCACCCTCAAAATGAAGTGTGACAGTTGGAATATTCACCTCCTCATAGGCTGAGAAATCAAAGCAAGTGTCTAGAATTGAGTAGCCTGTCACTATAGTGTATCCTGAGAACTGTTTCAAGAATTCAGCCTTGAAAGCCTTGTAGATAGACGGTTGAAGTCTGGTAATAACTGTCCCTGAATCGAGAATCATCATATGGCTTCTGTTGGAATCTTGAACCACAACCCCACCTATACTTGTTCTTGTATGGTTGAGAATGTAGAAGCTATAAAGCTGTGGATTCTGAACCATTGCAGTGTAAGAGATGGGTGTAGAGTTCTTGAAAAGCAGCGAATCGGCTCCGAAAACCAAGGAGCCCTTGGAATTCTCAGAGTCAGTTGAAGAAGGCAAGCAGTACGAGAAAACCCTTCCAAAAACATCAGATGTCTGAGAAACCAAAGACAGGTCACTCCTTCCTAGCCCCATTAGGCCTGAGGCTGAACCAAACAGACCTTTATTGTTCTTCCCACACCCAAACACAAATCCATCAATGGAAGTGCTTCCGAGAACTAAACGGTCCCTACCTAGCTCCCCATTAGTGTAGGACCCATCCCCATAGCTTACCGTGTAGTTGCACACGCTTGAGCCCCCCCTACAGAGACCTGAATTCCCGGTTGAGAGATTATGACAGGCTGTGGCATTGCATGGAACGGAAAGAAACGAAGGCGAGGATTCGGGGTTATAGAGAGGTTGTGGTTGGGTATAACATGAGGTGCACGGCTGGCATTGAACCCATGTCAGATCACTCCCGGTGTCTACAATGACTGTCATGTTCGTGGTGCCTATGGTTATGGTCACAATGTAGTTTAGAGTCTGTAGTTTGAGACCGGATGTGATTGGTTGGGTCTGGGTAAAAGATTGGGCTGAGTCTTCTGCGCTCTTGACCCGCGATTGTATTGACCCAACCCGAATTTCATCATCTCTTATAAGTTGCTGCTGCCATTGATCCCAATTCTTTATCAATGATCCAGAAGACATGAAGAAGTGATCTGTATGCCTCATTTCCAGTACTATCGCGCCATTTTCTCTCCCTGTAGTCAAATCAGTAGAGTGAAACATAGCAAAATATAATGTATAGATAAAAAGCTTGTACGTACTTTGGATGTACAAAATGTACTTCTGGTTTGCCCTAAATTCAAGAATAATAGTAAGGTACTACCTATGTAACACAAAGATCTTCCCATTTTGACTTTTCACGGTCTTCTAAGTTGAACTTTGACTCTAAATATCTACATATCTATATTTATAAAATTCATAATAAATTAACATTCAAATAATATGTTTTACAATGAGGTATACGAAATAAATTTTTAATCATAACATAATGTGAGTTTTGAATAATTAATGGTAAAAGTTTATAAAGTTTGACCCAAAAGAATCAAACTGAGAAGATTCTAGGGTTACGGAGGTTGTATATTATAATATGATATATTATTACTATTATTGTGATGAAGTTAAGGTCCACCAATGTAAAGTTAAGTAGCTTGCAATTAAGACTAAGGCTCCGTTTGGCCGCAAAATAAGTAGCTTTTGACTTCCTTCTCGAGCTAAAATAGATTTAATTAGCAAATGTTTTTCCTTTCAGAAATTCACTAGAATCAGCAACTATAGTCAATAACACTACAAATGGGAACCAAGATCTTTAATGATTATAAGGATAGATAGATGCTAAGACAAACATTATCCTTGATATATGTATATAGTCCCCATACCTGGACAGGCAAATGTAATGGTTGATTTACACAATGCAATGCAAAGGTGATTATATTGGTTAGCTTAGGAAAAAACAGATCCCAAGAAAAGAAAATGCCCACCAGTGGAAAAATGATAATATATATAGAGAGACTTTATTTAAAATAGAAAATTTATATTATATTCCCCAAAACTCACTTGATTTCTGGGCTGGACACCTTGTAGGGTTAAGCTGGTTGTTGTACAGCTGCTTTCTCCCTTGAAGCTTCTGCAATGACAAAACCTGTTTGTCCCCATAGCTGTTGTGAACAACAGCAGCATCATAAGAAGTGGTTAGCACAAGCAGGAAGCAGAGAAGAACAATGAATGAGGACGGCATTGATGAAATATAATCTGCAACACAATTTATTTGTACATATATAATAAATACTGTATATGGAGAAGAAAGTATTAAGAGATGGAAGAAGCTAAGCAAAATTTGATTTGATATTATTAATTAAGAATGAATTGTAAAATGTTGTGAGAGATCGAAAATTAAAGCTAAGGCCAAGGCCAGGGGCGGGGTGGATGAATAATGGAAGTGGCTTAGGCATGAGATGGAACAAATGGCCGAGGGGCTTCCTGCCTGCTCAAGGCTAGGGGCGGACCCCACTGTTGCATGAGAAATTATTGGGATTTCACGTGCATATATACATTGTATTTGTATTTATATTCATCTTTTCTCTCTCTATATATCTATATATATATATGGCGATGGATTTGATGCTTCTTCTGCTGGCTGCAGTTTCAACCTTTTAATTTATTACTCCCCCGTCTCATAATTTACTTCCAACTTTCCCTTTTCGTCTGTCCCAAAAAGAAATTCTTTTTGCCTTTATTGCAAAGAATTTGTGGTTCACAACAATTCTTACACATTATTACACATTTCTCTCTCCTCTGCACAACTCTCCATCACACAATTCTATTTTTGTTAATCTGTGTGCCATTTGTACTACGAAGGGAGTACCTTTTTATTTGAATTTCACCTTACAACTTATTTTTCTATGGTCAATATAATTTGGTATCTCCCAAAACTCATTGTTCCTTCTTTTTTACCAATCTCGGAAAATAATTTCATATAATTGTATGAATAGAAGATGCTCAATATAGGAGTTAAATATGACTGAGTAAAATTAAAAAATAAGGGTATGATATATTCTCCAATTGTGTTTTGGAAATAAAAACATGATAATAACAACTACTTCCTCCGTTTCATAAAAGTTGTAACATTGGAATTTTTGCACTATTTCCACACCTTACTTTGACTACGATTTTCTAATAATATATATAATAAAAATATTATGTATAAAATATTAATAAATTTGTATTAATGTAAATTTCCAATATATTATTTTTTTTAATGTTTACTAATACGTAAATAAATATAATTACAGTCAAAGTTGCACGTTGGCAAACGTGAAAGTCAAACTGTTGTAACTTTTTGAGTATATATAAAAAAACGATGTGAAGTTATTTCCTTACTAGAAGTTCATTTATTTAACAAATCGAAAGCTGATATCTAATTATTTTGAATTGTGTCACTTATTTTATCTTTTGACATAGTTGAATATAGTAGTCAAAACGCTGTTTCATAAGGGAACCAATTTTTGACATTTTGGCCTCCACACCGGTCCAACTGGTCTTATTCATTACTACCTTCATCCCATAGTTTACTTCCGTAGTACAAATGACACACGGATTAAGAAAGTGAGTTTTGTGTGGTTGAGAGTTGTGCAGAGGAGAGAGAAATGTGTAAGAATTGTTGTGAACCACAAATTCTTTGAAAAAAGGGAAAGAGAAGTTCTTTTTGGGATGAATGAAAAAGGAAAGTTGGAAGTATTTTCATGGACGAAGGGGGTATGTTTTTCTAATCTCACTCCCGACATTTCAATATTAACATTCCTTTTGTCTTTTAACGCAAATAAAAGCATTAAAAATTGAGTGGTTAAAAGTTGTGCAAAAGAGAGAAGTTAATATGATTCACACTTTTCTACCGTAAAAGTAACCGAATGTTATTTTGGGTTGATTTGAAAAGGAAAATATGAAATTACTTTTGGAACGAAGGGAATATAGAGCTTATTTTGCAGCACTGAATCAACTGATATTGATGAAATTCTGACTGAAATGACTGAATTTACTAAATTATGAGAATACACATTTTAAATATATTTCAATTATAAAAAAAAAATATGAAAAAACCAGAAAAAATATAAGTAAAATGGTTCTTTAAAATAGCTTCAGTCAATTCATTAGAAATTTAAGCTCAACTTTACTTATTTTGATTTAAGCTCAACTTTACTTATTTTGATTATTAGCATTTCGGCACAAAAAAACGAAAGTGAAGAATTTGTTAAAAAATGACAGATAAATTACTAGTTGAAAATAGGGGTTACCAAAGGATTGATGCATAATAATGTAATTGTGAAACATATTTTATTTATCAAAAAAAAAAATCTTTTCACCAATGTTTAGTCTCCATCCAAAATTATTAGGAGGAAAATAATGATTTGATTCCGCAAATGGCAATTGGCGTATGATGCATTCATAACAAATGATGATTGTACTCATTCAATTATTAGCTCTGCTCTAATAACTTGTTCATGATTGCAACCCCTTACGGTGCAGTTGTTGTCTATTTTTTCCGAAACAGCACCAGAAATTACAAAGACCTTAAAAGACCAGCTGGATTCAACCGGACTCCCTTGACTGCCAGCTTAAACCAACCACAAATGCCTTCTTCCCTTATGAGAAGATTCCACTCCACCTTCAACTGATTGTTTGTGTTTGCTTCAACTTTAAAAAAAAAAAAATCTTTTAAAAGATTTTAGCATCGCTCGAGCGCTAAGCGGCCCAAGCTTAATAGCAGAATAGTCAAAATCACCAACCATCCCTAACCTCCTATCTGCACGACGAAGGGCAGAAAATTCTCCAAAATCCTTTCCGATCCAAACACCGTTCAAATTGGATTAGTTCTCCCGTAACTGTACTCACGAATCGTGTTTTAGGTATGTTTGACACAACTAGCTCAAAATATATTTTTGTAAGTTTTTTAGTAATTAATACGTAGTAACTTTTAGTGACCGAAAAGATCTTAAAAGAAAAATGTGGTAGTTGTTTGATAAAAAGCTGATTGTTTCATTTATTTCTGTTTGGTATACAAGCTGTTAAGACTAATTAATACTAAAAGACACAAACTTTTCTCAGATGCTATTCCCTGTAGCATCTCAAAAAAGATTTTTTTTTTGAAAAGCTCTTAAATTTTGTCATGTCAAACATATAACTAGAAGCTTTTAGAGACATTAAAAATATGTAAAGGATGAGTTTAATATATATATAGATTTAGGATCAAATGAGAACAACGCTTAACGTGAGAACGTGAGAACACCACATTTATCCCAATATGATGCACAATGATAATCGTCGAATGCACATTTTTGTGTTTGGCATAGTATTTACCAAAATGCCATCGGCATTATTTATATTGGCTTTGATGGAGTATATGGCCCAGGAATCCCCGGACCATAGACTCCTACTATTCTAAGGGAGGTCCAATAGACCCAGGAAGCACACCAGGCCCAAATCATAGCGCCCCAAGTACTGAGCAACCCACGTGGCACACTGGGGGTGCCTTCGGCCCCCTGGCCGAAGGCTCCAAATTCTCACAGGTTGACCAACTCAAGCAAACAAAGTTACTGGGAGAAAACGGCGAAAATCAATAGCCCTCGACACCTAGAACCCTCGGCACTAAGGAGGTCCCCGGTACTCAGAGCCCTCGGCTAATCATCTGCAGTCGAGGACACCTTTCTCGACATAATATCCTCTCCACATGCGCCTGAATCACCGTACCGAGTACGACGTCACATCCACCAGCCACATTTAATGCGGCCACATGCGAATGCCAGTGCCACCCCGTTGAGGTGACCCCTCGACCACCAGAATGATGACACGTGTCCCTATCTGGCATTTATTACTACTATAAATAGCGTCCATTTTCCCCATTTGTAATCCAAACTAAATTTGCTCATTACATTCTCAGCAATACACTCTCTCTCTTACTTTTGCTCTGACTTCTCTCTAGTTACTCCCCGCAGTAACCCTTCGGATACATACACCGGGTAGACTATCCATCATATGGTGCTTTCATTGAGAGGTTTGAACACAATCAAGTGAGAAAACCTCCCCAAAAATCCAAAAATTCATCCAAAATGAAGAAATCTGTCAAGAATCATTCTGAAAATCCAAAAAATAAAAAAGAAATCTGGATTTTGCAGATCCGAGGCATTCCTGGCCAGATCCAAACTTGCCGATCAACCGGAGCAATTAAAAGTCAAAGGGAGGACTGGATCCGACGTTGGTCCGGCGACCAGAAGCTCCGGCGAAGCACGGCCTCCGGCAGCTCGATATGGCCTCCAGCTTCGTAGCAACGCCTCCGTTCGCCGCTCTTTCCTCTGTCAGTCCGCTCCAGCTTGCACTGCTATGCCTGGGAGCCGACTTAGCTCATTCCAGTGACTAACGAAGGGATCTTCAGACGCACAAAGTCGTGTCACATTTGTAAGAAATCAGATCTGCAATTATAGATCTTAAAGGGGAAGAAGAATCTGGTCTGCGGCCGATCAGAGGAAGCATCCGGATCTGGAATCAGGCAAACCACCAGCTGCGAATCTGTGACCTAAAGAACCAACGACGGATATACATATACTCAAAACAAGGAGAGCTCAAACCCGCATTTGGAGAACCTACGGGCCGACAGTTTTCCGACCAGGTCTACACAGTCCCCACCGGCCAATTTTGTGTTGAAATCTACGCTGATGCAGACGCCTTGCCCCGCCGTGAATCGCTGAGCTGGAGGACCCTCCGGTAGTAGCGAGCAGTCTATGCTGCTCTCTCAAATGGCAGCCTCCTCTGCCTGCAGATCTACGTCCTGAAGCAAAGCCCGGAGCTTTTCAGGGCAGCAGCGGACATCGAGGGATCCTCTCCCCCTGTCCGGCCGGGACCTCCCTTCCTCTCCATCAGTGACGCGGACTATTTTTAGCCTTGGCAACAGCAACTCCGACGACCTAGACCTCCCGCCGTGCGGCGGCGATGGCCAAATGACCTCCCTCTCCAGAAGCTTTGTCCGCTAGAGGCTGACAGTGAGGTATCGGGCAACCTAGCTCTCAAGTCTCAACCTTGATACCCTGGAAGCTCCGTCGGCTAGAGGCTCCGGAAGCTCTGACCACTAGAAGCCAAATGACCCCTCTCTCCGAAAGCTCTGTCGGCTAAACTTACGTTGCTACTGTTGGGGCTCCATCCTTGGGCCAAGACTTCATCAAGCCCAAACTTGAATTCTCACCGACATTAATGGGCCGTAAATTCAGCAACATATCCAATAATTCAGCCCATCAAAAGATAAGTACTCTTTAATTTTCATATTATTTATGTTTATTTAAATCATTTTTTTTCGGTTAAATGTCACACTATCACGCAATTATGATCAAATGCCTAGTAGAGTGTGGCTTGAGATTCATCACTAGGATTCAAAGCTCTGACTCTCAGGCACAAAGCCTTGACTCCTCAGGCACAAAGCCTGACTCCTCAGGCACAAAGCCCTGACTCTCAGACACAAAGACCGGTCTTAGTCATTCCAAGAGTGGCGACCGTTGCGTACGAATGGCTCACACCTCCACTCTACTAAGTATTTTATCATTACATCAACAATTCACATTTCCACTTTTTTCAAGTGACGAACTC